CTGACAAGGCTTAGAAATGGGGTGGAGCAGCATGGGACTCAAGCTACATCCACGCTGTGGCAATTAGATATAAGAAAAAATCGTTCTTATTGGGGACACTCGTCCACAGGACATCTGTACATAAGATAATGTCTGTACATAAGGCACTACCCGTACCTTGGACACAGTCCGTACCTTGGATACAGTCCGTACCTTGGAAATAGTCCGTACCTTGGACACAGTCCGTACCTTGGAAATAGTCCGTACCTTGGACCCTAAAAATATGAAACTCTTGTTTAAAACCAAACAAGGTCTAATAAACAAAATAAACCTACCTCGAAATACTTCCGAGGGCTCAATAAATAATAAACAACATGTCCTTTCTTCCATGTGACATTCTGGAGGACAAAAAAGAAAAGGGACGCCAACGTGCCAGCAAAACACAAATACAAGTTGGGACATCCGTAACTCTACCCTAAAAATATTCAATAATAATATCGAATCTAAAAGGATAATATCTCATCTTTACCTGTTGCTTTGAAATAGCAGCTGATTCAGATTATACAGCAAGATTTAAATAATCACCATTTCTAAAAGCTGGGATAAAACAGAGCGTCAAAACAAAGTGAGGTTAAGCACGGAGAGTTGACAGAAGCGATGTTGACAGCGCGCGCCTTCACAAAATAGTAACAGGGTTGTGTCGAACGATCACAGGGTTGGCGACTAGGCAACGTAAAAATTACGCGTCAAATAAACTATCCGGCCTGAACGAGAGGGAATCCGGTGATGATAGGCCAGACATCATATATTATATATAAAAAAAACATGTAACGAACTAAAAACGTTACAATCTTTTATTTAATTATTTAGGTAAGTATAGTGACGATCAGTGGTTATAGACTAATAAAAATACACACAGGCTAAACAACAGCCAGCGGTAGTGTTAGTGTATACAAAAAAATATCGTCATCCTCTGATATGATGGAGAGATCTCCCAGAGGAAATCGAACCAAATTTTTTGATTGCTAATGCTATAGCTAGACATTAACCTAACTTAACCCTCAACTGGGCTGGTGAATTTTTATAACTCTTATGGCATTCTGGGCCCAATTTTTTTTTCAGTTAATTATAAATGCTGAAGAACTCTTATAAAAAGTTTGTTATTTTAACACTGTGTACAATATATTCGAACTTGTGAATTAACAATTTCATTCATTTTCAATAAATTAATAAGAACGGATACAAAAATAAAATAAAACGCATTTTTTATGAGTTTTTGGCAACAGAAATGTAAGTTGGCTAAGAAACCCATAAACATTAAGAACATAGTATATATTTTATGATTTTCTCGTATTATTGAAAGTACAAACAATTGAAATACGAAACTAAAGTAATAAACATACATTATTTTCAACAAAACTGCAAACCGTGAATGTATATGACTTTTTCAAATACAGTTCTTGCTGACATATGGTCTAAAGTCGTCGCACATGGATAGTGTACATTTGATTCATGAGATTTTTGTTTTTTGTCATTTCTCCGTTGACATATACCACATCTCTTTCGTTTCTGATATTGATTATTCAATTATCTCTCTTTTACAGGTAAGAGATTCCGAATCGGATTTATGGTTACTGTTTGAAGAAAAAACATTGCCTCCATGATATTCATATCAGTTAAGTCTCTTTAAGTTCATTAAACCACTCGGTTAGTATTTCAATCTCAAAATTAGCGTTCCCGTGACGCACACTTTTTGAACTACCCACCTTTCTAATAATGAAATATTTTTGGCGTGGTGGTGCCACACGGATCCCAATGCAACTTTACCCCTCGCTGATAGGAACAATACTTGATAAAAACCAGTGCGCGTTTAATAGTTGCATTTGGGTACCCTAATTTAAAGATATATGGCGCGCCGAGGCCTATATATTAAACGTAAATATTTTACACAAGTTTAAATGTGCTTGGGGTCCGCTAGACTCCACCACGCCAGTTGGGGGGTCTGGCCCACAAAGGTTAAGGCCCACCGACTGCCAAATCATTACTGTTTTGAGTCCTTCCATTCTGACGAACTAATTTTGAAATGATAACCTAACCTTTATTTTTGCATTTCGTTTGGGTGATTTTTTTCAAGAATAAGGAACCGGAAACACCGCAACCTGTGACGATTAGGTGATAGAAAGTTTAGTATTCGTTGCTTGGTTACTTTGCATCCAACATATCAAAAATGTTTATTTTGTATGCAATAAAGTGTAGTTTTATTTTGACAGCAGTACAACAAAAAAAAGCAGAAAATCAATAAAAGTTGATTCTCACCTTCGGTTTCCCTTCCCTTTACATTAAATATTATATCACGTAAATGAACAGGAAAATGCACACTATCCGTTCCGTTTCCCTTCCGTATTAAGGTTGATTCTCACTATACCTTTCTTTTCCATTCCATATCCATTCCATATCCGTTCCGTATTTTTTATTGTATTGACGCTATACGTAAGCTTCCGTTCCGTATCAGTTCCATATTTTTTATTGTACAATTTATATCATTACGACAGTTTTATTTTAAAAAATTGTATCTTTTGAAAAAGGTAATATATTTAATTAAGAGGTGAAAAAATAAATAATTATAAGCAAAATTTTAACAGAGCTAGTACAAATGTAAGAACTTAACAAGGCTGTTTCCGATATGCTTCAGTCCATCCGTCAAAAAAATATGTGGAAGGAAAGGATATGGAACGGAAGGAAAACGGAACGGATAGTGTGCATTGTCCTATTCATTTACATGATATAATATTTTATGTAAACGAAAGGGATACGGAAAGGAGCTGATGTAGAAGGTATAGTGAAAATCAATCTTTAAGGTTGATTCTTACTATACCTTCCGTTTCCATTCCATATTCGTTCCGTATTTTTATTGTATTGACGCTATACTTAAGGTTCCGTTCCATATCAGTTCCATACTTTTGATTGTGCAATCTATATCATTAAGAAAGTTTTATTTTAAAAATTTGTATCTTTGGAAAAAGGTAATAGATTTAATTAACAGGTGAAAGAATAAGTAGATATCAGCAAAATTTTAAAAGAGCTGGTCCAAATGTAAGAACTTGACAACGTTGTTTCCGATACTTTTCAGTCCGTCCGCCAAAAAAATGAACAGAAGGAAAGGATATGGAACAGAAGGGAAACGGAACAGATAGTGTGCATTTTCCTATTCATTTAAATGATATAATATTTTATGTAAACGGAAGGGAGCTGATATGGAAAGTATAGTGAGAATAAGCCTTTAATCATATCCTTTCCTTCCACACATTTTTTTTGCGATAAGGACTGAAGCGTATCGGAAACAGTGTTGTCAAGTTCTTACATTTGTATTAATTAAATCTATTACCTTTTTCAAAAGATACAAAATTTAAAATTAGTAATTTCGTAATGTTATAAATTCTACAATAAAAAGTATGGAGTTGATACGGAACGGAAGCTGACGTATAGCGTGAATACAATCAAAAATACGGAACGGATATGGAATGGAAACGGAAGGTATAGTGAGAGTCAATCTTAACTCATAGAATTTGGTAAAATAAGATATACCACCGAAAGGTGGAACTCATTATACCGGGAGTTTCTCAAAAGTAGCTCACCCCTTTTTTTTATTTTTCAGATAAATAAACGCAATTTAGTACGTTAGTATATGACATATATCAGGATTGATTGACTTATTCAATTGTTTTCGGTTACTTCCTTTTTCACCGGAACTGACTAAATGACCCCTTCGTTATTTTTTTACTTTAGTCCATAGAAAATGACGCTCTGAATAGAATTACATATCATAATAATATGTGAACTTTTAAGATTCTTGCTTAAAATTCGTATAATGTCTTGTCCTGGCCGGTCAAAAGATGCCCAAATCGTGTTTTTAATCATAACTTAATTCTTTCAAATGTAACGAGGGTGGCTTTTTAGTACATTTGGAAAAAACATTTCTTTACGAATAATTTGGTACCACAGTAGAGTTACCACATTGTTGCTAAATCTCAAAAATTGTTTAAAAAACAAACTACCAAATTCACTTCACACACAAAAAAATAGTATTTTAAGTGTTAATCTAGAGTAGCATGGCTTTGTTAAAAGTTAAAACTACTAATTTTTAGTCAAGAAGCCTAAAAGAAATTTTGATCGTCTAATGTTTTTCATGTCTTTTCCTGGCAGCTTAAAAGATGTTCAAATCGTATTTTTAATCATAACTCATTTTTTTCAAGTGGAACGAGGGTGGATGGTATATTTGGAAAAAACATTTTTTACCAATAGTTTGGTATCATATACTTGGTATACTTTTTTTTAAGTGTGTTAAACGTGTCAAAAGTGACATTCTGTTTAGAATGTCATTTTCCATCAAATAAAGTAAAAAAAATTGCGTGAGTACAATTAAAAAATCAAAAGTTGTAGTCATTTCCGTTTGAAAAGGAAGTGACTGAAACTAATTGAATCCGTCAATCAATCCTGATTTTTATGACTATGATCACTATTTTTCTAAAGCCTTTGAATAAGCGTAAGAAATAACCAAAAATTGGTATTTTTTCGACTTTTTTCCATACATATAGTCGTGAAAATTAGCTATTTTCGTCATGTCACAGATTTTGTTAAAACTGCCGTTATTTACTAATGATAAGGCTTGGAATAAGAAAATATAGGCCATTGTAGTGAAGATAGTACATGACAGCGAGATAGAGGAGACGAGACGAGTGAGACGCCCGGTATAGTGCGGATCGTAGCGCGCCGAATTATTAAAAATAGCGGCAAAGAGCGAAGAAAGGGCGCGAAGGGAAGACGGCGGGCGCGCGTTAAGGAAAAGGCCGAAAGAAAAACAAACGCGTCGAACAAATGAAATAATCCTTCGGATAGTGTAGTTTATGATCTATTCCGTTCCTGCAGCCCCATTAAGGGAGGCCCACAAACAGTGCGCGAAGAGCGCCGAAGCTGATTCCAGTTTGCCGCAGTTGAAATAAGCCACCGTTCGCACCAGCACGGCCACTATAACTGTTCCAACCCCCGCGACCACCACCCCCCCGCGCAACGAACACGACACAACAACCCGCGTTATGCAGTCTTCGAGTTGCCTGCCGTGTGTCTAGTGTACCACACTCCATCCTCTGGGCCGCGTCTTGTTTACGAAAGATAAACAGTCTCGTGACGGAGACAAAGAAGAGGGAGCCAGGGCCGCAGGCAGATTTTTTTCCGAGGGAACATGTTGACCATGTCGACGTTGATGATGCCCGCATCGGCGGTACCGGCGGGCATGGCCGCTCCAGGCCTACTGCCGGTACCAAAGCTGGACGCGATCAGGCTGAACCACACTCCGCCGAACACCAGCATAGCCGCAACTGCACCAACGACACCAAACGCCGCAAAATCAGGTAGTTTTTTGTTTTTTTTCGTGTTCGTGCAGTTTGCGGCGCGAAAAGATTTTTTTAGACGCGCCGCCGAACGCAACACGTTAAGTTCTTCGAAACTTTTTCAAGTTGTTCTGTACTTCATTAGGTTTAAAATTTTGAAACAGTATCCTGTTTTAGTTGCGCCTATTCTCTGCGAGCGCGGAATTAAAATTAAAATTTTACTCTCGCGAGGGATGTCACTCAGGTTTAGTGTACCATAACGCTTAATTAAGAAAATTTAATTACTATAACCTCCGGTCCACACTTGCAGGATAGAGGGTTTTATTCTGTCCGCAATGCGGAGAAATTGCTAATAGACTAATATTTTTTTCGTGGAGGAGTGACTATAAAATCCCACCCCAATTGGCATCATGTTTATGTGCCATATAACATTATATTTTATCGTAAAGGTGCCTATAAAGAATATCCAAAAACAAAGGGTTTCGATCCACAATGCATATTGCAGTTTCATAAAATTCACCAAAAAAAATCTAAACCCTAAACAGTATTTTTTTGGCAACGAAAAGAAATTATGACTGTGTTAAAATTTTAATCAAAAAACTTTGCCGTAATTTTTAAATATATACATCCCCTGAGCTTTCAAAAATGATTAATCTCTTTTTAGTACAAAATTAACTTTTAAAACACCATCCCGATTTTTCTACTTAATTGTTTAGATATTTCGTTAACAATGCATCACCTCAGTTTAAAACTCCCATTATAAAGTGATTAATTTAGATCCCCCCACCAAATGATTATCAATTTTTACTTAAAGTAACTGAAGAAAAGAAAAATATATAAAAGAAACGGACTGAAAAATTTATGAGAAGCTTGCAGAAATTCTAAAAATACACGTCAGTTGAGTATTTTACGTTGTTACGTATTTTCTTCCATCACACTATCTTAGAAAATAGTGCTTTTAGTTCTGCTATAGTGTAAACATGTCTCTACAGTTATCGATGTTCTCGAAACGAAAGTGAAAGTCCCCATAAAGGTATTCATTCAACTCTTTGCTTCACTCAAATTATTATAAAAAATATATCAAAAAAAGAAAATGACTTCCATAAACCAATAAATTATGAACCATTTTATTATCCCTTTTTATATCCGAAAATGTTGTATAATATTCTAAAAAACGACCATTAAATTATAATTTATCCGAATTTTACGAGTATATTACTGTTACAGCCTAATAAAGTAATGGAGTTAGTTATTTAAAAATTAAAAATTATTTTAGATACTAATTTTTTTTTTTGCTAAATAATAAGGTTTTATTTTAGTTAGCAACATATATTACAGCAACTCATAGTAAAACAAGCAATTAATGTTGAAACAAGGTAACTTAATTATTGCAGAAAATGAAAAGGATATTTTCTTTGAGATTTTTATGAAAAGGATATTCTTTTTAATTTTAATTAATACAACTCGGAATAGTTTATAAAGTCCTTTCATATTTTTCTAAACTTCGCTAAATTAATATAAAGATAATTTTAAGTGTGAAAAAGCGCCAGCTCAATGCAGCTTCAAAGAGAGAAATAAAATATAAACTTGTTGTTAATTAACTTAAATGGTTATTATTTCTATTTAAATTTGTTTGGAAACAAACATTTAAAAACGTGTCTATCTATCACGATATTGCCTTACGTAGAAGGAAATATCACGAAAATTAAATTCGCGTGTATTTAATATTCCAGATAGTTTTATGTTACAATGTTATTTAATTTAATATATTATTTATGCAAAGTCACGTTAATTATGTGGGAATCACTTTATTTCCATTATGTAATGGAGTTTCGGCATAATTAACATTTTATTATAAGTGGTATCAGGTGTGGCATGGTAAAAAAACGAACTTTCAAGCAACCCTAAAAAGTACAAAGACTACCCTTCCTAAATAAATATACACGTATATTATTCGGTAACGATGAAGAATGCATTTTTAATATTACAGCTGTCTAAAATTTGAGACATTTTTGAAAACAGTTTATGAAAAATACATGGATTTGTCGAAAATGAAATATTACTGAAATGCCGTGAGAGCAAAACCGCTCGAAATGCAATTCCAGGAAAAACTATTTCGACTTCGATGTTTGAAGAAGCGTAACAGATGGTAATATGGTCTGCTTGCAAATTGTTTTTTGTAAAAGATATCTTAATCAAAACAATTGTTATAATACAGTGTAGTTAGTAAGTATTGTATGCCAGTTGCGAAGAAAAGCTAGCTATTTTCTATTCCAGTCACATACGCTTAAAGTTGAAGATGGATTTAAATTTAATACAAACATTAGGAATTCTAAATATTTTGAGAAAGAAATGATCTTCCTTCGATGAAATGCTAAGGGGAGAGTCACCAAAATATCAAAATAATACTTGTCCAAAATTCAAAATTACAAGATGCAAAATGAACTACAACCCAGGCCAATAATAGTTAAAAAAATTGGCACCGGGAGGCACGTGTAGCCTATACTAAAATATGTTGGTAGGCAGTTCTTTTAGTTTCAAAGTAAAGGAATTTTTCCAATTTTTTTTATCTCAAAAACTGCGACTTTGATTGATTTTGATGTTATTTTGTCATTGTCAAATTCGATGTCACATTTTGTTTACAATTGTGTAATTTAAAAAGGCTGGTTATTTTTCTCTAAATTGGAATGATCATCTACAAAAGAATTAGTTGACAACCATCCACCAGAATCCACGCACTGGAGATCCTGATCTTCATGGAGGACTTCTTCTAAAGCCTGAAACGTGATGAGGTCTTTTCCTGCTGCCTCCCCCAGCAGACACGACCTAATGTTTTTTTTTGTCTTTTTGTTTTTTGATTGAATTGATTTGAATTGATTTGAATTTTCTTCAACATGAAGAAGGATATTCAAATCATTAGTTCCCTCCTGTTCACTATTTTTTTCTTCACACTTACATTTTCTTAATTCCGTTCCTTTGTTCAAATCTCTGGATTATTCTTTGGACTGTTGATTATTCGGTAATGTGATTACCAGGAACACTATTTCCAGCAAAATGCCATTTAACCATCGTAACTTTTTCGGAAGTATTGAAAATGAAAATTACTCTATTTGGTACTTTCAAATTCTTGTAAGCAAAATGTGACATCGAATTTGACAATGACAAAATTATATTTTTGCTGATAATTGTAGCTTTTTCTGGGCCGTATTATAAAATTTGAATGAAAATACAACTTTAACGCCTCTGCAAAAAAGTCTAATACAACTTTTGCATAAAATTAAATAATATTTGACATTTTACACCACACGGTATAGTCTGTAGTTTGGTGTTAATAAAGTTACGATGGTGGTTAATTATAGAGACAAAAGTTCGTTTCAGACGTTCCCCTAACTGAATCATTATAAATGGCTGAATGCTTCTTCGAGTAGAAAATGATGGTCCCCGTCAAATATTTGTTGTCGACATCAAAGATAATTAAGATCCTATAGGTTTGTTTATCGACTCTGGCGGTGTTTGATATTAATAAACAATATAACAAGAAGTGTTATCACTTTAGTTGAGTTCCCTAATTATTATTCCCAAACCTCCTTTATCCTTCATTTAATCGCAATTAGGAATGTATGATAAGCGGATAATACCATGTCTATTGTCGTAATACGCCTCAAACAGAATTTAAATTAACCAACTCTAATTCTCTATTCGTCACAATTAAGATGATCTCCATGAGCTTAGGCCTAATTACACCTGTCCACAATATAGGGGAAGGAATATTTAACTCGTTTTTTTTTCGTTTTTTTTTTCATATACCTCGCGAGGAATTAAATAACTTAAACGTTGTGAACTGGGCAAACAAAGCAACAAGCCAAACATTTTACGTTATAAACCATTATATTTAATTATTTTGTATACAAACAAATATCATTAATTTCATAAAAAAAGTGTGAATTTCAGAAGAAATAAAAAAATTTGAAGGACATATTTGAAAAAGTTAATAAATTAAAAATTAATAAATAATTTTATTCTCTTTCACAAAATTTCACATTTCCAAAGCGGTATGCTTTCCTTACTACTTTTCGTCTCGCGCATGTGTGTCACGACCTTGAATTTTTAAAAGTGCGTAATGAAGTTTTACTTCAAAAATAAAAATATATACAATATTTCTTATATTTTAAAAACACCTGTTAGACCAAGATAAAAAAAAGAATTATGAATTTGTGATGGGAATTGAAGTTGACCCCCCGCCCCCCTCCATTTTTTTCGTTCGCTTTTTTGGCAAAACTTCTGACGTCTCCGAGCTATAGATTCATAAACCAAACCGTTTGGCGATAGTAAATTTATTTGGGCAAGTTGCCAACTTGTATGGAATGGGTGTCAATGCGAAATTCTTTCCTTTCCTCATGGATAAACAAGAATTTTTATATTAGTTGTCCCGAAACGGAATATCTGTTTCCCTTCCTTGACTTTTCAATGAGGTAGTAAAAAGGAAAATATAACTTTATTGTAAACCCCAATATAAATATTTTATTCGAGATAAGTGCTACTTTATCGATCTTTTTTCTAACAAAACACTTCAACATAAAGGACTACGTCCTGAAACTTAACTACAAGAAAATAAGATAAGACCAGACACATAATATGGACTTTTAAGGTATTTAAGTGGCTAATTAATAGAGCTATTTAAACATTAATAATTCCATTATTAATATAGAATTCTCATTTCAAAAATATCGTTACCGTGACAATTTTATAAATTTAACAAGTAAAGTCTAATTTATACTTAAAATGTTTGAATATTTATCATAGTAACGATTTTCTTTAAACAAAACAACTATAACAGAATTATTATTTTTTAATAGAAAGCTTTATTGAATCAGAAGGTTTAGCTATATGAACATGATATATCGTTGAAAATCAATTTTATTATCGACACAAAAAGATCATGTTTTTTTCAATTTTACAAGTTTTATTTTTTAAAAAAATTGAAAAATTATGAGATATGAAAGTGGTTTCCAAAAATGTAA